TCATATGCATCCGAAGAAGTGGGCTGTAGTCCACGAAAGCTTATGCTCTAATAAATTTGTTAGTCTCTAAGGTTCCACAAGTACTCCTGTTCTTTTTGCGGATACAGACTAACACGGCTGTTACTCTGAAACTAGCAAGAGAGCATCTCCTGCCAACATAGCACTATCCACACCGGTGCTTTTATCGGCAAAACGTATGTCGGTCAGAGGTGTCGGTTTTTTCACATCCCTGACCGACAAGTTTTGCTGACCAAAAACAAAAGTGTGTGAGGGAGAATTTAGAAAACTAGGAAATGAGGAAGAACTTAATGAGTATTGATGAAGAGCATGTAAGGAGAGTACATGGGGAACAAAAGTGTATGCCACTCATCCAGTTCAGCTGATGTGGACCATAAGATATTAGGATACCTTGCAAACTTAATGTATAGTTCAATGCAGTGGTTCTCAAACTTTTGTACTGGTGACCCTTTTCATATAGCAAGCCTCTGAGTGCAACCCACCTAATAAATTAAAAGCACTTTTTTATATATTTAACACCATTATAAATGCTGGAGGCAAAGCGGGGTTTAGGGTGGAGGCTGACAGCTCGTGATCCCCCAGGTAATAACCTTGTGACCCCCTGAGGGGTGCCGACCCCCAGTTTCAGAACCACTGGTTTAGTAGTAGACAACTGGTGTGGTACTAATTGCTTTTTGCCAGTTTTCAAAAAGGGAAAGAAGAGTGAACCTGATAATTACTGTTTAAAGCCTAACTTCTGTCCTTAGTGAAATAATGGAACAAATTACAAGGGGGGGGATCCCTAATTTTTTAGGCCTTGATCCTGCAAAAACTTGCACATGCTTAACTTCGTGTGTGCATAATCCTGTAGACTTCAGTAGAACAGTTCATGTGTGTAAAAATTAAGTATGTGAATAATTCAGCAGGAGTGGGACCTTACTGAATAATTTGCACTGTGAACAGTAAGCATTATAAATGTATAAAGAATATTTCTTTCCAAACAAAATCTATTCCTTTTTTAAAAAAATTATAAAATTAATAGCTAAACAGGGGGATTAAAGAAATAATATTTGGATTTTACTAAAACATTTGGTAAATCTTCCAAAATCTTTATTTGGAAATTTTAGTGACATGGATATAGTGTCATGTAGACTGAAAATTGGCCAGAGGATTGTGAACAACTGATAATGGTAAATGGCAAAGTATTGAGTTTGGGGAATGTACTAATGGATTTTTTTCTAATGGATAAGGCCCAAAAGCTATTGCAAAGTCTGTGGTAGCTCCAGTCATGAATAACCTCTTCATTGAAGAAGAGGGAATAAAGAGGACATCACAGTTAATATTATATATAGAAGAGGTCCCAGAGTTGTTTGGTTTTTTTTTAAACAGTGTGTACATGTTCTCATCTACAGTACTCCCATGAGTCCTGTTGATCTTAAACCAAATTAGACCCAGCCATGCTTGGGGAATCCCAGAAACCTCAGCTCAGTCACCACTCCTGTTTTTAATGGCTGACTGCCTTTGTTACTGTCACTTTAGAACATAAGAACGGCCATATTGGGTCATACCAAAGGTCCATCAAGCCCAGTATCCTGTCTTCTGACAGTGGCCTATGCCAGGTGCCCCAGAGGGAAGAACAGAACAGGTAATCATCAAGTGATGCATCCCTTGTCGTCCAGTCCCAGCTTCTGGCAAAACAGAGGCTAGGGACTCTGTCCCTGCCCATCCTGGCTAATAGCCATTAATGGACCTATCCTCCATGAACTTACCTAGTTCTTTTTTGAACCCTGTTATGGTCTTGAGCTTCACAACATCCTCTGGTAAGGAATTCCACAAGTTGACTCTGCATTGTGTGGAAAAAATACTTACTTTTGTTTGTTTTAAACCTGTGTAGTTCGTGTGTTATGAGAGGGAGTAAATAACAGTTCCTTATTTACTTTCTCCACACTAGTCATGATTTTATAGACCCCTATCATATCCCCCTTTGTTTTCTCTTTTTCAAGCTGAAAAGTCCCAATTTTATTAATCTCTCCTCATATGGAAGCCATTCCATACTCCTAATCATTTTTGTTGCTCTTTTCTGAACCTTTTCCAAGTCAATATATTTTTTTTGAGACTGGGCGATGGCATCTGCACGCAATATTCAAAATGTTGGTGTACCATGGATTTATATAGAGGCAATATGATATTTGCTGTCTTATCTATCCCTTTCTTAATAATTCCCAACAGTCTGTTCGCTTTTTTACTGCCGCTACACATTGAGTGTACGTTTTCAGAGAACTATCCACAATTAATTCAAAATCTTTCTTGAGTGGTAACAGCTATTTTAGATGTGCATAATTTTATATGTATGGTTGGGATTGTTTTCCAATGTGCATTACCTTGCATTTATCAACATTGAATTTCATCTGTCATTTTGCTGCCCAGTGACCCAGTTTTGTGAGATCCTTTTGTAGCTCTTTGCAGTCTGCTTGAATATCTCTCTTGAGTAGTTTTGTATCCTCTGCAAATTTTGCCACCTTACTGTTTACCCCTTTCTCCAGATTATTTATGAAATAAATATTTATTAAATAGGACTGGTCCCAGTACAGATTGCTGGAGGACATCACTATTAACCTCTCTCCATTCTGAAAACTGACCATTCATTCCTACCCTTTGTTTCCTATCTTTTAACCAGTTATCAATCCATGAGAGGACCTTCCCTCCTATCTTAAGAGCCTTTAGTGAGGGACCTTGTCAAAGGCTTTCTGAAAATCTTAGTACACTATATCCACTGGATCCCCCTTATCCACATGCTTGTTGACCCCCTCAAAGAATTCTAGTGATTGGTGAGGCATGATTTCCCGTTACAAAAACCATGTTGACTCTTCCCCAACAAATTATGTTCATCTATGTGTCTGACAATTCTGTTCTTTGCTATAGTTTCAACCAGTTTGCCTGGTACTGAAGTCAGGCTTACCCGCCTGTAATTGCTGGGATCACCTCTGAAGCCCTTTTAAAAATTGGCGTAACATTAGGTATCCTCCAGTCATTTGGTACAGAAGCTGATTTAAATGTTAGGTTACAAACTACAGTTAGTAGTTCACCAATTTCACATTTGAGTTCCTTCAGAACTCTTTGGTGAATACCATCTGGTCCTTGGCACTTATTACTTTTTAGTTTATCAATTTGTTCCTAAACCTCCTCTCGTGACACCTCAGTCTGCAACTGTTCCTCAGATTTGTCACCTAAAAAGATTGGCTCAGTTTTGAGAATTTCCTCACATCCTCAGCCATGAAGACCGCTGCAAATAATTCATTTAGTTTCTCAGCAACTGCCTTATTGTTCTTGAGAGCTCCTTTAGAATCTCGATTGTCCAGTGGCCCCACTGGATATTTAGCAGGCTTCCTGCTTCTGATGTACTTTTATTACTTTTTGAGTCTTTG